AGATGATGGCATATCGCCAAGCCCAGGTTCCCTCTGCAGCTTCCACACGCATGTGAAGTGTGGCAGAAAGGACCAAGGCTTTGGGTCAGGTAAACTTGGGTCCTCACAGTGACATCTTTGCTTTCCAACACTTCAAGGTCTTTTGCCATATATATGCCCAATGCAATACATAGCTTGATTTCTTGACCACTGCTTCCACGGGTGTGGATTTTGGGACCAAGTAAATTGAGATTCTTGACAGTTTCAGCATTGTCACCAAATAAGGAGAACTGAAGAAGAATGAATGCCTGTGAGTCATGGTGTTGGCAGGGTTGATTGATTATACCATGGACTGCCAGCAACAGGAACAGAGCTGTCTTGAAACAAGTCCAGACAGAATACTCCCTGGAAGTAAGGATGGAGAGACTTTGCTCACATTTTGTCGATCTCTTACTAGAACGGGCCAGTCCCTTAAAAGGAACCTTGGTGGTTTAGTGGCTATCTGTTGCGCTGCAATCCTCATGGTCAGCAGTTCAAAACCACCAGCAGCTCTGTGGGAGAAAGACTGAGGTTTCTACTCCCGTCAACAGTTACAGTCATGGAAACCCACAGGCGGTCGCTGTGAGTCAGCATTGTCTCAATGGCAGTGAGAGAGTCCCTTAAGGAAACACATGATGCTCGGTAATTGAGGTCAGTGAGAGAGGAAGATCTTCCAATTAGGTGGATTTCCACAGTGGCTGCAACAATGGGGACTTAGACATTGCAAGGGTTGTGAAGATGGGGCAAGACCAGGCAGTGTTATGATTGGTGTCACATAGGATTGGTTGCTATGAGTTGGAACCAACTCTACTGCACCTAATGACAAGAAGATTCAGTGAAAGCATGGCATTGAGGAGTTTGCTGCACTGTCTGGTGTGCCTTGGACTCCAGTAGGAACTCCTCCCTAGCTTGGAAGCTTCAGATTATATGACAAGAACCAATTCCCTGTTCTTTCTCCCAGCCTCTGCAAGGACAAATATACACATCACGTTTGTATGTGAAAGCAAGGGGTTATCTGTGTTAATTTGACGGAAGCCATTGGTCAGTTCACAAATCAGGTTATTTTGCCCAGTGCTGGGTATAGAATTAAAATACGAGTACTGTATGTCACACTCTATTCAATCCAAAACATTCCTTCCAAAAGGAATTGTGTCTCAAACTACAAAGTGCACGAGGATCAAATGGGCATCTTGTTAAGATGCAGATTCTGACTCAGGAGGTCTGGGATAGGGCCTGAGAGTCTGCATTTCTAGCCAGCTCTTAATCAATACTGTGGTAGTTAAATAATCTGCTGTCAACTTGAGACTATTAAGAGTGAAGGGGTGGAGTTTAGCCTGTCAATCAGGTTGCAGCTTGATGACCTCATTTGGAGGCGCTAAGGAGATACATAGCTCACTGGAGGTGGGACACAGACAGACTCTGCTTGGTTTCTCTGCAAGACATTCCTGTTGACCAGCTACATGGAGACACACTGATGGAGCCAGAGCCCTGGAGCTGGAGGAGCCATGGAGACCCACACTAGTACTGAGATCCTTCCACTGCCACTGGATCTACAAGACTTTCCACCCACTGGCCTGTGATATTCCTGCATTCGGCATCATTGCATGGCTGTGTGAGTCTAAAGAGGAATTTATGGATTAGCATTGGACTTGATCTGGACTAGGCTGGGATGTTTTCTTAATTTATAATTGCTCTTTAATATAACGTTCTATCTTACATATATAGTAAGGTGACCGGATTTTAACATTGGTAAAGCAGGACAAAAGCGGGACACCATTGATAAAACTCATATCCTGATGAAATAGCCACATGGCAGCCGAAAACCGTATACCCTAGCTTGTGGTGCATTCTTTCCAAAAATCGGGACTTTTAAAAAATGCTGCGGGACCCCAGAAAAATTGTTAAAAATCAGGACTGTCCCGCCTAAAGTGGGACATCTGGTCACCTTAACATATATGAGTGTCCTGGATTTATTTCTGTAGTCAACCCGGACTACCACAAATAGTGATGTCGATGCTGCTCCAGGATTCCAATATTAAAGAACTAAAACTCACTGCCATCATGTCAATACTGACTCATAGTGACCCTACAGAGCAGGGTAGAACTGCCCCTGGGAGTTTCCAAGACTGGAGCTCTTGACAGCAGTAAAAAGCCCTGCCTTTCTTCCATGGAGTAGCTGGTGGTTTTGAACTGCTGATCTTGCAGTTAGCAGCCCATCCCGTAACCATTATGTCACTGGGGGTCCTTTTTGAATATTAAAGGATGCTGGGTTTTTCTCTCCAGCTAGCTCTGTCCTAACCAAATCAAAGGGATTTTTTTTTGAGGCAACAGTGCCATAAACATTTCTGAAATTGCGGGAACAGGAAGAGGAAAATATTCCTGAGTTCTTCAGAATCCCTTTGTAGTCATAGAAATTGCTAACAGAATTTTAGAAATGGGAAAACCCTCTGTCTCTAAACCATACAGATGGGGAAACAGCGGCCCTTTGGGGGGTAGAACAGACCAAGCCCACACAGCAAATTGACTTTACGTGAGTGGGAAATCCCGGCAGCCTCTTGGTTCAGTGCTCTTCCTGACACGCTACAAATGTGATTATGAGAGATGCTCAACCCGACCTGAGCAGTCAAGGTAATTCTATCCCCTCCCATTCAACCCCAATGCCTGCACTATTCAGGGCAAGCACCTTCTGCCCTGGGCCTGAACCACAGACCAGTTGCTCTTCTTCCTGTTTAATACTTGGCTAATGGCCATGAAAACGACGCATTGGCCATATGGAAACTGCCTCCAATCAGCTCCCAGGATAAACACAGGGGAAGAGTTGAGTCATTGCCACTGGGACAGAGTCATAAAACATATTATTTGTAAACTTGGAATTAAATATCTGAGTTAAAGCAATATTTGCAATACAGTGTGATAAGGGCTGAAAAAAACGAACAATTCCCAGAGACAGATATGTGACAAAGGCTGCAAGGGACATGAGAGCTGTCATTTAACATGAGCGCTGTCGTTTAACATGCAAGGGCCACAATGGAACTTAGTAGACATACTCAAGAAATACTCACATACCAATGAACCTGGCATTCACCCTCTTGGGGCTGGGGGGCAGGTAAAATGCCAGCTGTTGTCTCTATACAGCCTTGTCTATCCAGCAGCACGATCCCAAGAAAGTGGTTAGGAGAAAGAGCCAGAGAGTAAACGCGCCCAGTATTTTCTGGACTGAGGATAAATCCCCACCCCACCGTTGGGCTACAAGCCTGGCTGCAGGGGCAGGCTGTAAATTTGTTTCGTGCTTCACCCCAATAGTCAGCCTCAGGGAAGAAAGGAACATGGAGAGGCACTAAAGGGGCTCCTCAGTTCTCTGTGAGACCAAGAAATGAATCAACAGCTTTAATGTGTTGTGGTTGAGTGCAATTCTGGTGACCCTGTAAGACAGAGTGGAATTGTCCCATACGGTTTCCTGGGGTGTGACCTTAATGGGAGTGGACCACCAGGTCATTCTTCCTCAGGCCCGCTGGTGGATGTGAACCAACCACTGACCGTGTTATAAGCGTGTTCCTAACCACGGTTCCACCATGCCTCCTTCATTAAAACCATACAGCTTTCCAATAATGAGGCAGGGGGCGGCGAGGGGGAGGGAACAAGACACAACACAAGACAACACAACACAACATTCTTTTAAGCCCACTATCTGTTAGAGAGTAGAACTGCTCCCTAGGGGTTTCACGGCTGTGATTTCTACGGAGGCAGCCAACCAGGCCTCTCTTCTGCAGTACTCTTGAAAGCTACCCTTTATCCTCGTGTTTGCCCCCCACGGTCCTTGACACCCACCAGACTTGCCCATTCAGACTCACAGCGACCCTGTAGGTCAGGGTAGAACTGCCGCATAGGGTTTCCAAGACTGTAAATCTTCACAGAAAGGAGGCATAGTGGGAAACCAGCTAGGCTGGAAACCGCAAGGTCAGCAGGTTGAAACCACCAACTGCTCCGTGGGAGAAAAAGGAGGCTCTCTAGTCTCTACTCCCATAAAGAATGACAGTCTTGGAAGCCCACAGGGGCAGCTCTACCTTGTCCTGCAGGGTCGCTATGGGTCAGAATGGATGTGATAGCGGGCGTTTGGATTTTGAGAATTCTTTACTGAGGCATGCCACCACATTCCCCTCCCCCCACTTCCGCCCCCCCTCCCCCCCGAGGGTCAGCGGGTGGGCTCAAACCGCCAATCTTTTGGTTAGAAGACAAGCATTTGAATTACTGAGCCACCATTGTGACTCTGTCTGCCGATAGCATCCAAAAGCTCACCGCCCACCCCCACCCAAGCCCCACCTTCACTTCCTAAGTCATAGGGTCAAAAAGGACTTCCATCTGTTTAAAGGGTCTGTGATTCAGCAGACAGTGCTTCAGAGGCCGGCAGTGGGAGCCTTGACCCCAAACTCTCCCCACAGACAAAGGGCATGTCACCTCCCTGGGCCTCCACGGCCTCAGTTTTGAAAAAGAGTGCTAATCCTGCTTCGGAATGTGGTGGTTAGGGTCGCAGAGGATGGTGGCCATAAAACGGGTGGCTGGCATAAGCACGGGGCAATGCCTTTCCCAAGCCAAGCTCTCCTCTTCATCCTCTGTTTGTTCCTTCTACACATTATTGATGGCGCCCTGACAATACCAACCCCCCACCCCCTCCTGTGACAGTGGGGAGATCCGATAGTGACAGCAGCCGAAACAGGACCAGGGCACTGCCTTGAGACTGACACTCGGGCTTTGGGGGGCAGAGTGGCTGTGGGGGGACAGGGCGGGGGCACGGG